CTAGCTACAACTGCTATAATGATAAAAAAAATTATAAAGCAAAAAATATTATTATATGAATAAGTGATGGTACTCTCTATTTAGGCACTATTTGCGCTTCGTTGCCGTCGAAATTTGTTACTGTGGTGATTTGCACATTACTCTTTGTGGAGCTTGTTTCTACTGGGCAAGGAACCACTTTTAGAACTTTATCCGTGTCGAGTTTATTGACATGTTTTTCTTATGCTTAACATTGAGGGTAGATTGTGAGACCAACTGGACAATCTTGGCATCACGATCAATAGTTTGCCTGATCGAGTGGCTTAAGAGATCGGCCAGACAATCTTGGCATCTCAACCAATTAGTTTGACCGGAGGACTTGTGTGGTGACCGATATATATCTAAAGCGTTGAAGTTGAGTTTTATCCCTTTACTCGCATCGGTATTGGTCGCGTAATCGGACCTCCGTCTTAGGTTGGGTCCCCCCTCTTTGGGAGGAGGCTGTCTAGACTCCTCTCAGAATGATTATCATTGTACCATTTGCAGAGCTTATCATTACAGGGTAGAGAACCATCTCAAGATTTTTGTCCAATCCAAGCTACGAGACTTGAACCTGTGTTGAGGAAAGTTCCCTGGTTATCCCTTATTATTGATTAAACATCTATGGTGTCATTGTCGATCATTTTTTGTACCTCCAATTGTTCAAACGTTCTTGGCGTCGTTGTCGACTTTGTTATTTGTGTTCGAGTTCCCCTAGTGCTTACGTAAACTGGATTAGATGTAGAAAATAAAATTTAAGAAGTAATTGCCTTAATTTTTTGCATGTAAGGAGTAGTTATTACATTTATTTGAAATACTAAATAAAAGAAAGTTTTTGGCTACAACTCTATAGAAAAGTTTCTAATACTCATCTCATTCAAGGAATCACCCGGTCTTGCCCCGATTTGGAAACCCAGAAGCATGGGGGAGATGGTCAGTACAATGAGTCGGCCGGCGTGGTGAAGCCTCCGCTCGAAAGAGGGCCGACGACGAGATGGCCAGCGCGAGAGAGAGAGGGTCGACCAGAAGGAGGCAGAATGGTGAGGAGGCCAGATGACAGGTAAAATAGTAAAGTTTAGTGGTTAGATTTGTAAAGACAAAGGATTGTGCGGTATTTACATAAATACCCCTTCACCACGTATTCAAGTATTAAGGGGTGGTGTATAGATGGATTTAGAGTATTTTACCCCGTAGGGGGCAAATGGGGTGTCCCTGGGGCTCTTAGACTCATTTTATTCCATTAAATCCTCGGGTTACAAGAGAGAGGAACCAAATGCCCTTTTAAATGAAAGAGTCCTCCTATTTATAAATGATAGGATGACCAAAATTAGAATTACATTATTAATTTTGCTAAAAGGGAATATTACATGCTACTTTGAGTATTTTACTTATCAAGCTATGTTGCTCATAGTCGCCAGACAGTTAGTTGCCGGGTTGTGGTCACCATATATGGACCGTTAGATTGTCCTGAGATCTGCGCGGAACATTTTTCGATGTACACAAACAACAAAGCAATAGGGTAGTGAAGGCTTCAAAAGAACCGAGCCGAGTTGAGCAGGTGCAAGTTGGAGCTCGTTTAGTACTTACTATATTAGATAGGTAAAAATTTTTAATATTTGAATTATACTTTCGGGGGTTCTATATGAAAAAATTTATTTCCCACTTTTGTTTTTGTTGGTTGATTATGCAAAAATAATAAAATTTCAAGCATCAATTTTTGAATATTTTTTTCATGATCTATATTGCTTTTATAGGCGGTTGTGTTGATCTGTGTGAAAGGTAGTTGTCATGCAGGCCATGATTTGTATTGTTCATAAAATTATACTTACTAATTGATTTTGTTATATATATATATATATATATATATATATATATATATATATATTAATGATAAATCAAGCTGTTAGCAGCCATAGATACACAATACAATAAAAATAATACAAACTAATGCGTGATACTCTATAGTTAATATAAATTAAGGGCCCGTTTGGGGCAGCTTGTAAGTGCAGCGGCGTTTTCGCATTTTTTAAAACGTCGTCTAACCGTTTGGTTTGTCAGTTTTTAAAAATGCTGTATGTCGCGTTTGGGTTTTTTACACTAAACGCAGATCGCGGGTCGACCTGCTGGCCGCATTCAGGATAAGCTGTTTATCTTGAAACTCACAAGCTGCCCCAAACAGACCCTAAATCATCATGTTGAGCAATAGCGATCATTTGAGGAAGACGGACAGAATAATTTGAAGTACTTTTGAGTAGAATAAAAATAAAATGACATTAGATTAATAGTAGCTGGAGGTTTTCTATTTGTCAAATATTTTTTTTAATGATTAGTTATCGAAGGAGATTATCTTAAAAAAATTAAGAATATTCCAAAAATAGTTATTTTGAAATGACGAAACCTAACTTTTATTTTTACATTTATGCATGAGAAAATATTACAGCAGGACTCCTGACGTAGAGCTACGCTCGGATTGGAATATTTGGTTGTGTTATGAGAATATTTCATCTGCGTTATTTGTTAAAATGATGTGTTATTCGAGTATTATATGATATTATTCGATTATTTTGCAGTGTTATTAGAATATTTCATCGCGTTACTTGATTTGGGGCTGAAGTGTTATTGGAATATTCCCTCGCATTACTTGATTTAGGGCTGTGTTATTCCAATAACACAGGGAATATGCCAAATAACAGAGCCGCAAATCAAGTAACGTAAGAGAATATTTCAATAACACCGCAAAATAATCGAATAACACCATATAATACTCGAATAACATATCATTTTAATAAATAACGCAGATAAAATATTTCTGTAACACAGCTAAATATTTCAATTCGACTATAGTTCTATGTCAAGATTCCTTATGCAATATTTTTCCTTATGCATGTGAAATGTGTATTTCACTTTTTAATAGTTAAAATTATGCATGTCAAAGGTGCATTTCACTTTTAATAGTTAAAATTATGATGTTTTTTTTTATATGATATGAAAATGTTGGGTGATATAAATGTAAAAAGTATAGGTTAAGTGCTAGAAATGTGAAAGGTTTATTTCACTCTTAATAGTTAAAATTATGATGTTTTTTATATGATATGTAAATGTTGAGTGATATAAATGTAAAAAGCATAGGTTAAGTGTTAGAAATGTGAGTACATAAGAATGGAGGGGTTTGTATGTAATTAATGCCCCTAAAATAAAACTTTATAGGGTGTCCTTTCACAAGTTTAACATAATTGTAATTACATTTTGATGTGATGTTTTTATACAAAGTCATGAGTAGGCATTTTTGGTAACAATATATTCTGTTGCAAAAATCACAATTCAATAATGTAGAAATAGTGAAAATTATTCTAACAACTTAATGGATCGCATTAATGACATTTTAAAATAAGAGGAATGTTCAGTAAACCACGCCATTCATCATTTATAGTAATTTAAGATTAATGTAAATAGGTTTTTGGATGGTCCATGCCTCGCCTCGTGTTTGAAATGACTCGTGTTTGAAATGGCTCGTAAATATTGTGTTCGTGTTCAGCTCAAATAACATGTTTCTGTTCGTGCTTGGCTCATGTTTGGCTAGAAATAGATTCAGTAGAACATATTCCACAGAATAACATGGAATAACACCGTAGTAATAACATCGTGGTGTTATTTGGGTGTTATTCACGGCGTTATTGGTGTGTTATCGGGTGTTATTCCGCAGTGTTAAACTGTGGAATAACACCGAGTAACAATGCAACGTTACCAATGTGTTATTCACGGTGTTCTTGGTGTTATCAATGTTATTCCGCGGTTTTACATCACGGAATAACACCAATAACACTGTGAATAGCACCCGAATATCACCACGGTGTTATTCCGCAGTGTTACTCGATGTTATTCTGCAGAATAACAGCAATAACACCACATAATATTGAATATATTTATATTTTTATTTATAAATTTATTTAATTCTTTTTGAACTAATTCAAGCTGAACACCAGAGAACAAATATTTTTTTGGTGTTCGGCTCGTTTATATTTCGAGCGTAAATATTTATTCGTGTTTGGCTCATTAAGCTTAACGAACAAGCTGAACATGAACCGTTTAACGAGTTGTTCGCGAACAACCAGCCGTTTTGACAACACGACCAAAAAATAAATAAAATGTTTATGATATTTATATGATAATTATACTAAAGTTTTATTATTTTATAATTAATACTAAAAAACCACAGCTGCGTCGTCTTTTTTTTCAAATGTGATATTCTCCACTTCTACAACTCAAAGCTCCTTGTTTTCAAGCTAGAAAATTAACTGAAGTCGATCACAACTTCAGTTTCTCAAGAATAACACTCTTGATCGACATAGCATCGTCAACATAATTTTGTACCTCCAAACTTTTTCTTGGGTTACTCATATAATTTATTTCAAAGTTTTTAAGGTAAAAAAAAGGCATATAAGAAATTCTCATCCACTAGTAAATTTGACAAGATACCTTTATGCAACCCCTCTGCCGGTCTTTTATTCCAATCCAACTGCTACTAGTCGGCCTCCTATTATTTCTAATTTAAATTTTAATCAGAAAAAGTTATGTGATTATCAAATTTATTTTTAAAAAGAATTTAGTATATATTTAATTAACAAAATCTAGTTAGTATTTATTTTTAAAAATAAATACTTCTAAAATTCTTCCAGGCAAATTTCGAAAAGGATGTTTGGGACAACTTGTGTGTTTCAAGATAAATCTGTTTATCCTGAAACGCGGCCCGCGGGTGGATCGAGGGTTCGACCCGCGGCCTGTTTTTAATATAAAAATGAAATTACGTTTTTAAATAAACGGACAAAACACACCATCCAAATAATACTGCAGTATTTGCAGATCGCCACCGCACTTTTATGCTGCCTCAAACTAGCCCTAAATTTTCCAAGCCAGTTTCTAATGAGCTATTAATTTCATTATTTGTAACTAATCCCAATCTAAACCACAACTAATCCTTCTTCTCTAAACCATAACTAATCCTCTCTCCCTCTCTCCCTCTCTCCCTCTCTCCCTCGACCATGCCGGGGAGCAAGACTTCGTTAAAGGGTAGAAGAAGCAGCAATGGCTTCTCTAGGAAAATAGCAAGTCTATTCTCCTTCTCACCATCGGCTAAACCTCCTGCAACTACATCCTGCCGCTGTGGCGCCAACACCATGTTAACTCTCCGCCGGCTCTGCTCCCTCCTCCGACGACCCTTCCGCCGTCGAACTAAATCTCCGGTCGTCATTCGCCAATTTCCACCCGTCGAAACCACCAACGATCCGCCACCTCAGCTGATCCGCATCGCAACTTTCAACGTCGCCATGTTCTCCATGGCCGCCCCAACGCCCAACCCCGAAAACCCTACTGCAACCAATCTCAACATCGTCGGTAAATCCCTAAACGACAGGCCCAAGGGCATACTCAAACGGCAGCAGACGATCTCCAATTCAAAGAGGAGAGTCTCCATCAATCTCCCCGAAGACCAAATCTCCATCGAGAGAAGCAAGCAGCTTGCCTCTGCTGATAAATTACTCCAAAAAGGCAAGGCTCCAATGTTTCATCAGAACAACTTGAGCTTCGTCGATCGAATGAGAAAAACTGACACGAGTGTTCTTGATGTGCTGATGGAGGTAGATGCCGACGTGTTTGCTCTGCAGAACGTGAAGGCCGAGGAGGAGAAGGGTATGAAACCCCTCTCAGATCTAGCTGATGGGTTGGGCATGAAGTATGTGTTCGCAGAGAGCTGGGCTCCAGAGTTTGGGAATGCGATTCTCTCCAAATGGCCTATAAAGCAATGCAGAGTTCAGAAAATCTGCGACGACGCCGATTTCCGGTGATTACCTTCTCCCAACTTGATGAATTCATGGTTGACAAATCATGAATTCATAGGTTTGTTTTATAAGCCAGCTTGGTAAATTTTGACGCAGGAATGTGTTGAAGGCAACCATCGAAGTGCCGAGAGCAGGAGAAGTTAATCTGCATTGCACACATCTGGATCATCTCGACGAAGAATGGAGGATGAAACAAATTAGGGCAATGCTTCGATCGAATGACGGGCCTTACATATTGGCGGGAGGGCTGAATACTCTTGATGAAACAGACTACTCTGAAGAGAGGTGGAATGATATTATCAAGGTTGTGAATGCTTTTACTTTCGTGAACTTTAAGCTACAGTTCCATTAGGGAAGAAATTAAGCTCACCATTACTGTTTGTTGCAGTACCATGAAGAGAATGGGAAGCCAAGGCCAAAGGCTGAGGTGATGAGGTTTCTCAAGGGAAAGAATTACGTTGATTCCAAGAATTTTGCAGGGGAATGCGAAGCTGTTGTTGTGGTTGCTAAAGGGCAAGGTAGAACCTTTTTCTTAATTATATACCTCTTTTTTAACAAATTAGTTCTTCCACATCACTTTCTTTTGAAATTTGAGGAAGTTTTGATGAGAATTTAATGCAATATATGATTAATTAGTTTTGCACTATCTCAAACCAAATCTGAAGATCATTACTCCCTTCTTGCCAACTCTAAATCAAAATATTCCAATCTAATTTTCTCATTCATTTCTAATATGAACCTCAAGGTCAATGTAGACTATACAGTATGATTACACTTACAAAAGCCAAATTTAAAGAAGACTTGTTAGTTCAAAATATCTTCATCAAAATTTGATTTTGATGAATTTTAAAATTTTTAAGTTTGAATTGAGATAAGTTTTGTGTATGCATAGTCAATCAATATTTATATTACTCTCTTAAAAAAAAACTCAAAAAATTTAAAATCATTGAGGTCAAGTTTTAATTACAATATCATCATGGGAAACTTTTTTCCTAATTTACATATCATCAAATTTGTCTGTTTGCAAGCGCCTCTTACTCATGACCATACACCCCAAAATTTAAACTTTTCATCAAAGAAAAGAGCAACAAATTAAAAAAAAAGAAGAAGATGAAATAATCACCACCGTTCATTTTGACCAGGGATATTTTCCCTCGTCATCACAACTAAAAGGTAGCTTAAATCCAAAAAAAAATGTGGTATGCATGTAAATTTCTAAAAAAGAAAATGTAAAAGAAATCATGGCGTTAGAAACGTGATGAGTAGTTGTTGAGGAAGCAGAAAAATGAAAATATGGTAAAGATTCTGATTCAATTATTCAATTTAAATACATAATTATATTTTCTCGAATAAAAAGGTCCCTCCAAACCATAGATCACATGACTGTCATTATTGATGGAAGTTCAAAGCTTTTTATTATTTTTTTTACCTTTTTTTGCAATATTTATAATCAATTGACTTTGAGACTCGTAATAAATTAAAAAAATGATTTTTTTTTGTTTAATCATATTTGCACGATTCTCAAAACTTATCCAACGGCTTTGGTTCGTTGCAGATGTGCAGGGGACTTGCAAGTATGGCACAAGAGTTGATTACATACTGGCATCACCTGGTTCGCCCTATAAATTTCTTCCAGGTTCTTATCGGGTCATCTCATCAAAAGGGACTTCAGATCATCATATTGTAAAGGTTGATATTGCAATTAACGGTAATGTTGAAAAAAATCACAGAACACAAAAATCTCAGAAAAGATTAGTAAAAATAGACGGTGTTTCTTCCAAAGGAATTTGGAAAGTTAATTCATAAGTTCTGCTCTTTCAATTTATCTTTTTTTCTTCCCCCATTTTTCTCTTCACTTGCTAAATATAGATCTGATAGTCTATATGTAACTACATACTGCTATTTTTATTTGGTGGAAGATTTACATACACACCACTCAATTCTTATGTATTTAACTTTCTAACACCTAAACTTCTATTTTTACATGAAAAATGTCAATTTTTACAAGATAAAATGATGTTTTTTTTTTTTATTTTCAAAAAAAATGATGGTATTTTTGATTTGATGTGAATGATTTGGCGGTTATAAATGTAAGAAAATAAAGTTTAGGTGTTAGATATGTAAATACATAAGACTTAGGAGGCATGTATTCAAATGCCCACTTTGTTTTTAGGAGCAAGGTTCTGGATATAGTTTTAGATCAGAGTTGCTAACTATATGCCGAGCCTATTTGCTAAAAAATTAGGTACCAGTTGTCATGGGCTTAAATATTTATGCATATTGGTTGGAAAGAACATGAAGACAAAGGATAAAAAACCAAATATTATGAGCCATTAGATCAAGGGTAAAAAAAGTAATTTGACTATGATGTGTTCTATCATTTCTCTTTAGTTTTTATTTAAGGGGGTATTTTTACATACATACCTCCTAATTTCTAGCATTTATATCTCGAACACCAAAACTTTACCTTTATGTTACCTAAGTCTTTCACATTACATGAAAAAAACACATTTTTAACTTGTGAGGAGTGGAGCACACATTTTCATTTGAATGATAATATAATTGAAATTTTAGATTTTAGACATGTACATCTTTCTTTTTTTCACTTTATAAATAAATTTAAAAAAATGATTTTGACTACTCTTTCTTTTGATTAATTCTTAGAACGATGAGAATTAAAGTAAAGTGTAAATTTTGATGAGATCAATGAAGATTAGCATGGTTATGCTGCAACAAGCAACTGGGAGAAAAAAAAAATCCTCCATTACTCGGTCACTGCTTCAGGTGCCATGTGCGGATTCAAGGTGGAAGCATTGGGAGCATCGGCCTCTATTGGCCTGAACATGCCTTGGTTATTTAGTTTGTTCCTCAGCTCCCGATGCCTCCCATTTATTTTATCCCTTTGGTACATACTTTTTTCAAAATTTACATTAGAAGCAAGTAAGTGTGGGTAAATTACAAACACAAAATATTGCATACTTATTATCAATATTTTGTTGATTTTGCAAGCAAAGTAATCTGAAATAAAACTTAGAAAAAAAAAATCAATTTGATTATAGTTTGCTATGCTAATCACGGAAAATATTTGCGTACATAAGACGTACGCAGCGCTGCATACGTTCAGGAGTTATTCAGGGGGTACAGGGGGGTTATATCGGGGTTATACCCCTCGGTAACCCCCATGTAACCTCTTTGTAAACTACCTGTAACCTACAAATGAGTTTCGCGCTTCTGTAGTTTCATGGGTACAAATAAGTTACACGGAGGTTACAAGGGAGTTACACGCAGGTTACAGGGGGTATAACCCGGATTCAACCCCCCTGTAACCCCTGAATAACCCCTGACGTATGCACTGTTGCGTACGTCTTATGTACGCAAATATTTTCTGCTAATCACATGAATTCGACATCTTAGAATTCTTTGCTTTATTTCCGGCTGATGTGCTACATGTTTGACATGAAGTTTCTCTTTCTTTTAAATCAATTTTTTTTGCAATGATTCTATAAACTTAATCATCTATAATTCCTTTTTGATGCACCAATTCACCCCAAATTATCCCATATTGGGAAGTTTTTAGCATAACCACTTCTCAACTTAATTAGTATCATATCATAAAGTTGAATAAATAATTTTTACCAATGTATGACTAATCGCCAAATTAACACATGAAAAAACACATTATATACTATAATTTCTTCTTATATTAACTTGGAAAATTTACATAAAATCACACAATTATCATTTATTTACAGATCTAATGCCCAAAGTTTGATATTTACATTTTTAACATATTGGTGCTATAAATTTATGCATAAAAAGTTGTATTTAGTTGTTGCATGTGTTCTTGGTCAAAAGTGATCACTATATATATATATATATATATATATATATATTTCAGAGTCAGCTAGGAGCTTTGTAAATGAAAAAATGTGCAAGTCAGTCAGCAAGGAGCATTGGGATTTGAAATGTTTAAGTAATTCCTAAGCCAAAAAATTGTAGGGGATCAAGGAAGACGCAAGCTATGACAGAGTCAGACCGAATTAAGGGTGGGTAATGCTGGAATGCATTGGGTGTATAAGATATACTTTAAATACATCCTGAATGTATTTTAAATACCCAAATCTGCACATACGACGAATGAACTATTCGGAGTGTATGAAAATGATGCCCTACTATGAACAGCTTCTTGCATAGGACTGCAGCTGGAGCGTATTCAAGAAAATGGGCATCTGCGTAGATCACAATTTAGTTGTTGTTGCGAGATCTATACCAATCAGTTGTGATATGTAGAATAAAAATAGAAGAATGATTTTTGAAGCGAAAAATAGAACGAGAAATTCACACTAGAAAATAGTAACACAGATTTACGTGGTTCGGCGAATTGCTTACGTCCGCGGAGTTGCAGAGGATTTTACTACTTGAGGAATTTATACCAGTCGATCACCTTGACTTATAAGAGAAATCTCACTCTTCGTTGCTGCTCTCTCTGTTCTTCTCTCTTTAGACCGAGATACTTCGAAGAAACTCTACACCGAGATACTTCGAAAAAACTCTACACCAAGATACACCGAAGAAGAAACATGTACAAGAGAAATAAACCCAATTTCTCTTCTGTCACAAGCCACCAAGAAGAAGCCTGGGGAGAATATTCTTCTTCTTCTTCCTTCTGTCGCAAGGAACTGCTTCTCGTTGTACTTCTTTTCCTCTGCCCCGAGGAAACCTTCCTCTGTCCCGAGGAAACTGAAGAAGTACTAAAAAACCGTGACTTCTCATTAACTACGAAATCTGAAGAAGAGCCGTTCTTTTTATCACGAAGAGAAGGGAGCGACTTCAAGCGTGCGGGAGGAGGCGGAGACGGGATCGCGATCTTCGCTATCGGGAGAGCGAAGGGGTCCGAACCGGGCTCCAGCGCTAACAAATTCTACTGTATTTACATATCTTACACCAAACTTTCATACTTACATCCACAACTAATTAAAAGTGAAAAACACAATTTCATTCAAAACTTTTTGACATTAAAGTACTATAAATTTAAATATCAAACGTTAGGTTTTAGATATGCAAATGCATAGGAACTGTGTGGAAGATATGTAAATTTCTCTTATTAAAAATATGTTCAAGCTCAATTTATTTAAATTTATGTTTGTTTGAGTTCTAGTTTAAGCTTAGCTTAAACATTATTTTCTTCTTACTTGTAAGCTTTGAACGACCAACTCGCTTAAAAATATAAACAAGTCCTGTCAAGCCGAGCCTGCCCAGTCTTAACAAGTCAATCGAACTTGGCATAAAAAATTAAAATTTAACATAACAAAGTTAAAATATCCTTAAAATTCACTTACTTTTTTAACATTATTTTAAACAATTTTCTACAAGATCATATGGGATTCAAGTAAATAATTCAAGGTGCGTTTGGGGCGGCTGCTGCTTAATATATCATATGGGATTCAAGTAAATAGTTCTAGTTTAAGCTTAGCATGCAAATATATCGATTAATTCATATTTGATTATGTACTAATATTTATTGAATTAATATTTGATTGATAAATGATCTTTGATATTACTAACATCACTAGGATAATAAACAATTCAACTTCGAGCCGAGCTGATGTAGGCTAAAAAAAAATCAATCCAAAATTTTGGCTCATAGATCGAAGTGTTTATTTCGATCAGAGTTTCTTGTACGAACTAAACTTCGAATCAATTTCCGAGTGATTAACTTTGTTAGAGCTAAATTCACAGTCTTACCCTATGTACCACCTAATTTCTACATACCACCAAAAATATCTACTAACATACCAAACATTTATCAGAATTTAACAATCCCAGAATTTGATAAATCCATATTTGCATAATTTATTAAATTCTATTCAAATTAAATTCAACTTGCAACCAAACAACCCGTTAATCTAACACCTAGGTGCTATTTAGGAGCTAATTTTAAGCATGATTTGCACAAGAATTAAGCTAAATTTTGCCAAATAAAGAAAAAATTATCTGTAAAGCTTGAGTTTTTTTGTAAATCTCAGAATGATGTTGACTATCGATAAATCCAGGGTTTGCTAAATCATCTGAATCATCAGATTTAGCAAATCCCGGATGAGACGAGAATAAGTGGCCTTTTGGTAGCTGATTTTAAGCAGATTATTCATGCTTTATGTTAAATCCTGCCAAACGGCAAAAAAGACATGCATAAATCCTATGAATATACAAAATTTAAGATTTGAATTTTGTCTTTGATTGATGTTAAATCCAGATTTAGTAAATCCAACAATGTGGTGGATTTAATACATGTAGATTAACTAAACTCTACTAATGTTAAATCATTTTGGTCAAAATACAGCTCTGATTTGATTAATCCAGATTATATTAGTTTAGGCAGGATTTAGTAAATCCAAGAACGGGGTGGATTTAATAAATCCAGATTTACTAAATCATAGTCATTTTGGTCAAACTAAAGCTTCCCATTTGATAAATTTGGACTTGACCAAAATCTTTCCAGACCATCATTTTGGTCAACATAAACACTCAAATTTGATTAATCTGTATTTCACTGATTTAAGCATTAAATACCATATTTAGGAAAACCAGGATTTAAGGCCTTAATTTAATAAATCCGGATTTACTAAATCCTGCTAATGTTAAATCCTTCTTGTAGGCAAACACACCCTTAAAGCACGATTTGGGCTAGATTTAACTTAAATCTTGCTAGACGGTCATTTTGGTCAAAATAAAGCCCCCGATTTGATAAACCAGGATCTAACCTAAATCTTGATAGATTGTCATTTTGGTCAAAATAAAGCATTGGATTTGATTAACCCGGATTTCAATGATTTAGTC